AATGTACAAGTGAATCTACAGGTGAATGTACAAGTGAAAGGATTTGTCATGTCTGATTATGCAAACTTATTCGGCATTCTGTGTTTGTGACATGAAAGAAAATCTGGTAAGTACAATGTAGCAGCTCTAAGTCAGATAAAAAGATTAGTTCCAGTCATTACCCCATCTAAGCTAAGATGCTGCAATGATCACAACAGGCATCAAAACAAAATAGTATGTCACCTGCAATAAAATCTAACAACCTACAGATAATGCTAAAACGTTTACAGATTCCCTAATGCTACTCATTACAAAACTTTAATAGCAATAGTGTGGGTGGCTTTAAGGATGCATTGTCAACATAATTGGTTGTGAACTAAGAACTTCTAAATGTTCAACTGGATGGGTGGGATGAATTTTCCTGTTGGCCATGTACACTGGGAAGACTGAACTGTGGCCACTATCAAAAACTAGGGGCATTTACCATTAAAAGACTCATAATAATAATGAATTGCCAATTTGGATAATGGTGGGCAGATCATGATGCAATTGTCAATGATTAAGAGAGATCTTGGAATCATGCTTGATAAAGATGTCTATCTTTAAAAAAAGACAGTGAAAGTAAACTGCCCATGTTCATTTATATAAATTTGTGGTGTGACAGCATTTGGAATATTATCTATTTCTGATCTCCGCACTTCAATAATTATTGTGGAGCTGGAAAAGGGCAAGCAATGTAAGAACAGCTCCTATATAAAGAAAAATTACAGAAAGAAGGCAGGTAAGAAGGGATGCAATAGAAAATATGTCATTTTCAAAGGGGACTAGACAAATTCACAGAGCAATATCCCACTAACTATATTTATTCGTTTTAATGTTTTAAATTAATTCCAGTTACAGGGACACTATGATGGGATACTAGAGCCTTTTTTCAGTTTTTTATAAAGTTGTACAGTAAGTACAGCAATTGCTTAAACCAGTGATGGCGGACCTTTTAGAGACTGAGTGCCCAAAAACTGGCCCCGCCCCCGCTCCACCCCATGCCCCGCCTCTGCTCCGTCCCCACCCTGCCTGCCCGCAGGGCCACTCACTGCCTCCAGGGCGTCGCAGATCGCCTAGCAGCGCCATGGCGGCCACGCCCTCTGCCCGTGCCCCGCAGCATCAACTGCTGAGGGCAGAGTCTTGTCTATGCTGTCTGGCTGCCATGTCCTTGGCTGCACTGCTCCGTGTGGGCCACGCTTGGGGGCAACTCTCCTCCAGGGGGGCTGCTGGTGAGGAGGGGGTTGCGGGGGGGGCGGCAAGGCTGGGGCAACGGCATGTGTGCCCACAGAGAGGGCTCTGAGTGCCGCCTCTGGCACCCGTGCCATAGGTTCGCCACCACTGGCTTAAACTCTATCCTTTAGGGAGAGATAAATCAGGTTTAATAATTTGTGAATAAATAATTATTGTAAAAGTTTTAATGGAGTAAAAAGGATTTTAAAAGTTGGTATGTTGATAAAAATGCTTCAACTGCATATAATAATGTTTTTAATATTTTCACAATTTCTCATAATATGAGAGAAGATTTTAAAATAAAACCCACTGAAAAAGAAAAGGCTGGGACACATCTTTGACTTCCAACATATCTTTTAAAACAATAATGCCATTAATAATATTTATTCAAGATATAAAATTAAGAGGAACTCTGCTGTTTTCCTCAATGAATATAGAACTTCACCATGTTCTTCAGTGAATGTAGCCTGCATTTATAGCTGGATTCTATTATGAAATAAAGTTATCATTAAAGTCCATTTTTTAATATTATCCGATCTATCACGGCCGCCTACAACTCCATCAGATTTTATGTGCCAGAGGATGTTGAAATCTGAATTACATTTATCAAAAAGCAGGGATAAGCAATTTAGTGCTTTCTAGATATTTGATGAGTCTTCTACACCTTTGATCTTGGTTTAAGCTAAATAAACCAAATCTGCAGCATATTTGTAATATAAATTTGTAGTTTATTAAACCTAATACTCTAAATTCTAGATTTTGATTTGCAGACTGTATATTTTTTAATTTTTGTTTTGTTTTGTTTTATTATATTTTAAACTATCTTGTTTAATCATCTACATTACATTGTCATACCAGTTTTTAGTTTTAATATCAAAAGTATGTACAATTTTACACTTGGATCTTTAGTATTAGTTTTATAATTTTGTATTAGTAATCCCTAAAATTTTATTAATATGTTATTCTTTATCTTGAAATCTTATTCCTGCAATAGAATTTTATATGTGAGCAAAGCAAACATTGGTAAGGAAAGTTTTCAATTTCAGCTCTAATTCAGCCCTAGCCCAACTTGAATGGATTGTGGAAACTGCAAAACAAAATCTCAAAGATTAAAGTCTATTTTTTCCTCAACTTTTATTCATTTTTAATCATTACCAAGAATCAGAAATCACGAAAACTCTCCTTAGTGACTAATTTTTAATATTTCTAAGATTGATTCAAGACCCCCCTTAAGTCTCAGCTGTGTTACTCAGTACAGATAGTCCTCAATTTACAATTCATTTAGTGACCATGTGAAGTTACAACAGCATTGAAAAAACTGTTTTTTACCCATATGACCATTGCAACACCCCAGGGTGATGTGATCCAAATTTGGATGCTTGGCAACTGACTCATATTTTATGATAGTTGCGGTGTCCTGGAGTCACGTGATTACCTTTTGCACCCTTCTGCCAAGCAAACTCAATGGGGAAGCCAGAGTCATTTAACAACTGTGTTACTAATTTAACAACTACAGAGACTCACTTAACAACTGTGGCAAGAAAAGTGGTAAAGAGCAAAACTCACTTAACAAACGTCTCACTTAGCAACAGAAATGTTGAGCTCAGTTCTGGTCGTAAGTCATGGACCACCTGTACACCCATAGAGAGGGGAAAGCACAAAACCTGGGAAATAATAACCACAGCGCCAGCAAAACTCCCCCATCATCCTGGAGGTTCGCCAAAGGCGAGTGCAAAGCTCAGTTGGGGATGATGGGCTTCCTGGCAGCTCTACCGCTCCTCCCCCTTTTCAACAACCATAACTGAAGCTGAAAAATAAAATAAAATAAAATCCGGGGGACGAGGAGACGGTAGCCAAGGCAGGCTGCAATCTCCTGCGTATTTTTGCCACTCCGACATGGTGAGCCACTCGCTACTCCCCGGTTGCTACGGACAGGAGTGAGTGAGAGTAGAAACCCACCAAATTGTCCGCCCGGCTTTGCGCATTTTTCACAACTAACGCTCTCAGCCCAGGCCGACCTCGAAGCGACTCCGTCCGCCTCTCGAGGAAGCGGCTATACCAGGGGTAGGCAACCTTGGCTCTTTTATGACTCGTGGACTTCAATTCCCAGAATTCCTGAGCCAGCTATAGCTGGCTCAGGAATTCTGGGAATTGAAGTCCACGAGTCATAAAAGAGCCAAGGTTGCCTACCCCTGGGCTATGCCATCCAAGAGAGGGTGCCTCCCCCCCCCCAGCACAGCAGATCGCGCCGAAACCGAGAAAGGTCCCCGCTCTCTGGGCACAGCTGGCCGAGTGAAGCCTGAGGTGCGAGAGCGAGCACAGGAAATCACACCGCGAAGCTCAACGACAGCCTTTCCCAGCCATAGAAATTTCCCGGGCCTCCTGCTCTGGGATCTTTTTCTCTTTGGTTGGAACCAAAACTAAGGAGTATAAGCTCGGACTGGGGTTAGCTCTTCTCGGAGGGCTGCCTTGCGCGTTGCCCGGACAGCGAGGAAGACCTCTGTCCAGGGGCGGACGGCAGCAAAGCAGCCAGTCAATGGGAAAGGCGAACCAGCTCTTTCGGGTTCGCAACAACAACCTGCTTCCCCAAGCCGCCGTCTTTTGGAGGAGGCAGCCAGGAGGACAGACTCACGCGACGGCGGCCGAGAAGGACCCTTTCCTGCGCTGAACGCGACGGGAGCGCGTGGCCGCCCGTCTGCTGTGTGCACGGTCTCGGGAGGCGCGAATCTTCGTCCAGGTGCGGGAGCCATGTCCGTCAGCCAGATGTTTATCGCCTTGCAGGGGGTGCTCACCGCCGACCAGGATATCCGCGAGGTAAGAGCAGGTGGGAGGGGCCCTGGGGCGCCCCCTCCCTGACACCGGGACTGCAACTCCCAGGATTCCCGGCCGTGGCTGTGAATTTTGGGAATTGCAGTCCTTACCCGTCCGGAGAGGGGGCGGATGTAAGGTGGAGGTAATGGGTAATACTGATTGTAAGGAAAAAGGGAAGCTTTGGTTGCCCTTCCTGCACACACACACACACACACACACACACACCCCTACTTACCTATCTACCTACCTACGTCGCATGGGTTTGCATACGTTTGCTCCATAGTGAATAATCATGGTATACTAAACTAGTATTTCCTAAACTATGGTCCGAGGGCCTTTTGGAGGTCCTCCAAGTGCATCTCAGGAATCTACAAAATCAAAATGGTTTGCCAGATATTGAAGATAATTTGCAAAAATTTAAAACAATTTCACTCTTCTCATTTTTTTATTTGTTAAAACAAAAACATGATTTTTCATGAAAATGTTTACGTTAACATCTAATAGGTTTAATATTGTTCTTTTTACATGCTGCAATGAATAAATATTCCATGAATGCATCCATTTTAATGTTTAGTATAGTAAATATTGATAGGGTCCCCGATAATTTGTAAAAGTGGGAAGGGGACCTGAGAGCAAAAAAGTTGTAAGAACACTGGTCTAAAATATGACTGTATTTATATTACAGGTAGTCCTCAACTTATGACCATAATTGAGCCCAGTTGTAAGTTGTTGTGATTGTAAGTTGAAGCATCACGTGATTGGGCCTGCTTTTATGACATTTTTGCAGCAATCCTTAAGTGAATCCATTTCCCCGATGGGCTTTTTTGCCAGAAACCAGCAAAAAAGTCACATATCACAATCACATGACCTCAGGATACTGTACTGCAAATGGCCATAAAGATGAGCTGGTTGCCAAGCATCCAAAATACAATCACATGACCTGGGAAGGTAGAGCTGTCATAACTTCAAAGATGGATTATAAGTAGCTCTGGGGAGGTCCCTTGTAACTTCGAAGGGTGTTTAAGTTACCGGTCATAAATCAAGAACTACTTGTCAAAGGAGGAGGAGAGAGAAGAGAAGCATATGATATAATTATGTTTTGATAGCAATAGCACTTAGATTTATATACCGCTTCAGGGTGTTTTACAGCCCTCTCTAAGCGCTTTACAAAGTCAGCATATTGCCCCCAACAATCTAGATATACATTTTACCAACCTCAAAAGGATGGAAGGCAGAGTCAACCTTGAGCGGGTGAGAATCAAACTACTGGCAACCAGCAATCAGCAGAAGTAGCCTGCAGTACTGCATTCTAACCTCTGGGCCACCACAACTCTTCCTCTTGATGAAGATTAAGATCTGGTGTATTCTGCATTTGTCATTTGGCATAACTGTTAACAATAAGGGTCTTTTTTTGCCTTGGGTTGCCTTCTCTCGTTTTAGGTATTTTTTTTCCCCAAAGAAACTGATGATGTAACTGATATAACTCATCTTCAGGTCAATCTACTTGGAAATTCTAATCAACCATTTGCAGATAATGAATTATAAATGTTTCTGATCTCTTTGGAGGGTTTCCAGTTTCATTAGCTCAATCATTCTAAAAGCATTACAGCTTTGCTTCTTTCTTTCAGCTGCATATAATTATTTATATTTGTATTTGTATTATAATACAAATGCTGTTAAGAGATTCCAAATTATTCTAGCTTGAGATTAAAAGGGAAGTTGCACCTAACATGTTGAAGCTAATCTGCACAGAACAATATTTGACTCAAGTAACTGCAGCCCCACATTTCTTTGATAATATATGTTACATTCACTTGGTATTTTTAAGTGGTCTTAGATGGTCAGAGATTCAGGCAAATTGTACCTATTGAGAATGCATGTGGATACACTCGTTAGGATGTAGCGGTAATGATCCTCCAAATTCCAAAATAAATAGCTTTCCTAACTGTAATTATAGAAACTGCTCCCAATAAAACATTTTAGGCAGTCCAATAATGTGTGGCAATGATATATCAGAGGATTATTTTATACATTTAACTTAAAATGTATTGCAGCTGCCTTATGTGCTGGGGCAGCTTTATTGAAAATCTAATGAAGGAGGAACTATTATTAAACATCTTTGGCAGGTTTACTGACCGCTGAAAAACAATTTCTCCACAATAGAGAAAAAATGTAAAAGCTAGATAATATCTTTATTAAAACCAGCTAAAATATCACAAGTGAGTGTACCACATTTCTGTACTCCAATAGTATTCATCAGGCAAATTTTTACAAAAAGCAGTAGAGGAGAAGCAAGGAAGTTAAAACACCTTTTTGAAGACTTTTTTCTCACAGAAGTTTTTCACTGAATGTGTTTTCTCTAAGTCAAAAATCACAAAAGCGCATAAATCCCCAACCTTATGTTTTCTGACAGTGTACATAGGCATCTTAAACTTAGCAAATAGCAAAAATAAAAAACGTCAACAATAAAGGTAGAAAGTAGTATTGTAAGGTTGGTTGATGCAATAGATACAAAGTCGAATAGATTGTCTCATATTACAAGTAGTCTCCTCACTTACCAACTGCTTCATTTAGCAACTGTTTGAAGTTACATCTGTAAAAATAGCTTTGCAACTAATCCTAACATTTATGACTGTCACAGCATCCTGCAGTCATGTAATTGCCATTCAGGTATTCTGCAACCAGCATGCATTTAGGACCATTGCAACAACCAGATGGGAAATGAGGTGGTAAGCCCATTGCAATCGTGTAATTTTCTGCTTAATGGTCCTGGTGCTTAGGATGCAGTTGCTAGTCGCAATTGTGGTCACTAAGCAAGGACTACCTGTGCTAGTGATGAAGGGAATTGGATCCTCAAAATGTATTAGGCCTCTAAAAAATGTGTAAATCCTTTTCCTGTTGGAATAAGAAAGTCAAATCATTTAATAGCTTTTGAAGGCATCCAGAAGTGGGTGGGTGGGGAGACATAGTTATCTAAATTCCCATAAGGATATGCACATGGATACTTCCATTTTACTCCCAGCTGAGGGTCTTTTATAACATGATTATACGTATAAGCCAAAATGTATCTTATTATCCCAAATCCAAGGTTTTGTGTTGTATCTTCAAAGCGATTGGATTGCTTATGGTAAACCAGGTTTGGCCATAACATTAGAAAAAAAGACAAAATTACATTAATCTTGTTTGAAAAGGTTGTTGTTTTTAACAATCATGCTCAGAGAATTTATTATCAAATACAGGAGATTAGGAAAGTTGTTCAAACTCTGGAGCAAACTGCCCGGGAAATTTTGACTGTGCTTCAAGGAGTCCACCAGGGTTCTGGATTTCAGGACAGTAAGTCCACTTTTGTTTGTTGCATTCAATATATCATACTGTTGGGAAAGAATGGAAAATGTATTAAGTAAGGTGGGGAATGTATTTTCTGACTCAAAATGGCCTTGCATTTGTTTGTCAGAAATATGGGGACCTATCTAACAGTAAAGTAATCCAGTTTAGATATTTAACCAGTCAATAATTACTTTTTTTTTAAACAGAGTTAAATACCTGATACATCATTTGAATGGTGTGATAGCAAAATGTTTCTTAAGCCTTAAAAATTTAGGAGAGGCTGCATTTGGTTCCCAATCCCCTCTTCTAGTGTCCCGATTGTGCAGCTGAATTTCAGTGCCCAATCTCTAAGAAACAAAAGTATGGTTTTTCCTGATCATTTTTGGCAGAAAACTTTTTCAGGGTATATAAAAGTTCTTTTAGAATGAATATACCAATGCGCATAGAAACGAAGCACATGCATCTCAAAAGCTGCTTCCTCAGAAATCCTACTCAGCTACTTTGGTGTGTCAGCATCTGCCTGTTGTGGTCCTTAACCACTAAAAAGAGACAGAAAGAGAAAAAAAAATAGGCTGCCTGTCGCAGAATGTTTAATTTCCCAGCTTAAGACATAAAAGGGCTAGATCGAAATTAGTCATCACTAATTTGTTTCATTTATTTGAGAATGGCTAAAACTTTAATCTGGACCTATTTATTTTAATTCTGAATTTGTTTTTGTTTTTTCACAGCTCATGAGTTTATGCTTGAAGCATACAATTTCAATAGCTTTTTTTAACTTGCTATTTTCTTTTACTTTCAGTACCAAAGAAATGTCAGAAGGCTCGAGAACACTTTAATACTGTCAAAATACATCTGGCTTCTCTGAAAACAAAGTTTCCTGCAGATCAGTATTACAGGTTAGTGAATTCCTCCCTTCCCTTCCCTCAGTACACATTTGACACAGAATAGATTTCAAAAGGGGGAGAAAAAAAAGATTGCTAAAAGGTAAAATTGTTGTTAGAGGGAGCTAATTCTAAACAATTATTTGCTGTATTAATCTTTAATATTTGTATGTTAAATGGTAAGTGTCTTGTTGTGCAAGAAGAATTATTTGAGAAATAATTGTGGGGGGTTATAGATTAACAAGAATAATTTAGCATTCTGGGGCTAATCAGAATGTAACTTGTTGCATTCAATAGAAGAGTAAGGTGTGCATATATTTTCCTATTGATGTTTGGTTATACAACCACTGGAACTTGGTAAGCATGACCGTGATATCATTAAAAATGCTCATAAAATGCCTATATTTCAATCAGGTGTTTTTCCATACAGATTTCATGAACACTGGAGGTTTGTGCTCCAACGACTGGTGTTCTTAGCAGCATTTGTTGTCTATCTGGAAACAGAAACCTTGGTGACACGGGAAACTGTTACTGAAATTCTTGGAAGTAAGTTAATAAGACTTAAAGCACCGGTTCCCAACCTTTTCTATACCCCGCACCCCTAGAATGCTTCTGATAGGTTCTCACACCCCTTACAAAGGTTCAAAATAACAGCAACGAATTATGCGTATACACTATAATTTTGAAATTTCTAAACCCGAGTTTTCGCATCCCCTGGAATATTGTCTTGCCCCCCCAGGGGGTGTGAGCACCCCCGGTTGGGAACCCCCGACTTAGAGGAAGGCTTAACATGGCATTAGGAATCTCATATTCGTTAATTGCCAAAATATTTTGCCTAGTTATTTATATTCTTTTTCTTTTCAGTTGAAGCTGAAAGAGAAAAAGGCTTTCATCTGGACATTGAGGATTATCTTTCTGGAGTATTGACTCTTGCCAGTGAGCTGGTATGTGGAATATTGTACAGCTACGTTGCTTGCCTAACTGAATAGAAGAAACAGCAAGTTGATGCATGGATAAAGTTAGTTTGGTCTCTTCTGGCCAGGTATTCTCTAGTTCAGGGGTAGGCAACCTTGGCTCTTTTATGACTCGTGGACTTCAACTCCCAGAATTCCTGAGCCAGCATGGCTAAGCATGGAAACCTCTCCCTTTCCCCTCAGCATGGCTGGCTCAGGAATTCTGGGAGTTGAAGTCCACCAGTCATAAAAGAGCCAAGGTTGCCTACCCCTGCCCTAGTTGGAAGAGGCAATCTCAAATGTTAGCTAAAAAATTCTGGGAAGTGTAAAATCTCAGTTTATTTGGAGGACAGCAAGTGAAGAAGGGACACCTAAGCGGCACTATTTGTTTCCTTGTTGGCTGATTGATTGATGTTGTTAGCCTTTCCTATTGTCTGATGGGCAAGATTTTAATTAGTAAAGTTTTAAGTTAAAAGGCTTTTGAGGTACTTTCCAAATATCTGGATTTCAAGTTCAGGCTTTCTGAAAATAATTGGGGCTGCTTATTTGTATCCTATTAACATACAGGTATTACAGTGGAATTCCAGCGAGGCATAACAGGCTTCATTCTGTTTTATTTAATAGTCTAGGTTAGCAGTGAACAGTGTGACAGCTGGGGACTACTGTCGGCCACTCCGCATCTCTGCTTTCATCAATGAGTTGGATTCAGGATTCCGCCTGCTCAATTTGAAGAATGATTCCCTGAGGAAGCGCTACGATGGCCTCAAGTATGATGTCAAGAAAATAGAAGAGGTGGTTTATGACTTGTCAATCAGAGGACTCAGCAAAACAGCCAGCGGAGATGCTGGTGAGGAGAAATAGAAAAGGCCTCACTGAACTGCATTCAAGATTACCTCAGTAATGTGGCCAATGAAAGAGAAGCTTCAACTGAGCTCTCTAGTAGTAATGTAGAAGAACCATAAGCTACAAACGTATGTTTTTCCCCAACTGAACACTTAGTATATGTCTGAAACTATTCTGTAAATGCCCATCTAGTGGAGTGTGTGTGCAGGATAAGTTACCCATGATATAAGCCGCATTTGTGAATTATGTCCTTTATTGTCTCATGGTCCTGAAATCCCAAACATGGAAATCAGTTGCTATTGTATTTTAGTAACAGGTTGAACTGAATCTTTCTGGACCTGTCCATAATTCACATTTAGTACAATAAATGCTCATTTTAAAATGAGCACTTGGTTTCAACATGTGTAAACATGTTTATCGTTAAAATGAAATCAGAATGCTTCATTTTCTAGTTAGATTGTGAGATTTCAGATTTAATGTAACGGTTTAATAAGTAAACATGTTAGGAATTCATTTCTAAAAGATCATTATATAATACAGAGTCTGTTTTCTGAAATAAGCTGTTTCTTAAACATTGGAAAGAACTGTGAACCATTCCTAATACATTTATATGCATATTCTTAGTCTATATCCAGTTTTTAAAATTTTTTGAGAATGTGAAAATGTATATGTGGTTTAGTAGAGGGCAAAGGGATGTAAGCAATTAATGTGCTTGGAATCTGCACTGAGTCAGTTAGCAGTCCATTTCATTTTAAGTGGCCCATTCAATTTAAAACTTTAAAACTAAGTAGATCTTTAGCAAACAGGTAAGAGAAAATTGTCATCTAAATCCTAATTATGCTTATCTGAATGCAGGTTGTTTTTATTCAATTCGTTTCCAGCAAATATACATAAGATCACAGCCTTTAAATAGTAAGATGCAGATGTTAAGCAAGCTGACTTTATACTGCCACTTACTCTGCTTTCTCTCCTATGTTAATATTTGATCGTCATCTTCGCTGTCATTCAGGCATAAACTACATAATGTTTCTGAAATGTACAGTGACGTGTTTCTGTTGATCATTTTACATACACTTTTTATGTCATTCTTTCTCCATTGTCTGCATTTTGAGAAAGATTATCTCCCAAAGAATAAAAAAAATGTACTTTATGATAACTGATATAAGCATCCTTGTTTATAACGTTTTTCCTTGTTCTGGTTGCTGTTTTTGAAATGTTCAACGGGAAGCAAATACTTTGTTAAAACTGGTAAATAAAAATAGACATTTTTTTTTAAACATGGCATATGCTTGTAAGTCTGTGATTTATGCTTCATCCATGATAATGCCCGTAAACACTCAAGGGTTTGATAATTTGTGTAATTGGAATTTGCTAATAATCTTAAATTCAGGATTGTGTGTGTCATTAATCACCCCTTCAGTTATGGTAGGTTAATAAAATTTGTTAGAAAAGGGGCTCCTTGGTTTTTACTCTCTAATACAGCTCTTCCCAGCTATAGCTAGACCAGGGGTAGGGAACCTTGGCTCTTTTATGACTTGTGGACTTTTAATTCCCAGAATTCCTGAGTCAGCATGTCTGGTTCAGGAATTCTGGGTATTGAAGTCCACAAGTCATAAAAGAGCCAAGGTTCCCTACCCCTGAGCTAGACTATCAAGAGGGTTGCCAAATAATAGATAGCTTAATCTAAGGCAGCGGTTCTCAACCTATGGGTCGCGACCCCATTTGGGGTCGATCGACCATTTCACGGGGGTCGCCAAGCAAGGCTGTCCGCCATTTTTTCCCCCTTTTCCAGCAGGTGCCTTACCTCCCTTGAGCTGGGCCAGCTGATGGTCGGCCTGCTCCGTCTCTGCCGCTTGCCAGCTACGCCTCGGCCGGCGCAGGGGGCGGAACCACGCATGCGCGGCGCTCCCGGGCAGGGAAAGTCCTCGACTTACGACCGGTTTAGTCCTCGACTTACGACCGGTTGGGGGTCGCGGCATTAAAAAGGTTGAGAACCACTGATCTAAGGGGATATCACAGCATGATGTTATGTATTTTAACATATCTCTCATGTCTATCCAGTGATGAATTTAGTGATTTATTTAAAAGAAATCTTCCTTTCTTTCCCAGCCCTTTCTACAAATACCATGAAAAATTGACTAATTTTTTTTAAATTAACAATTTAACATTTGGTAATTATTTATGGTTTTGATGGGTAAACTAAACAGATCTATTCATATAGGAATCACCAGAATGTTAAATTCCATGATCAGAATCACAAATTCAAGTGTCAGGCACTAAAGAGAATCCTTCAAATTTATAAAATATTGGGCAAAAGTTAGATGCTGTATGGCCTCAATGGCAGCTGAAACAAAGTTTGGTAGCCCCCTTTCCAACTAACAAGTTTTATTAAACTATAAAAGCGTAACACACTGAAATTGCTAATTAATGATGGATTTGTAATCTGGCTTGCATGTAATTGTACAATCACCCTCTTTTTAAACCTAACATCAGTTTAGCACTCCATCCATCTGATGAGGTGTGCTATAGCCCATCGATGTGTATGGTTTTCAATAGAATTTGTTAATTAGAAAAGGTACTACCAAACTTTCTGAATTAATTTTGAGAAATTAAAACAGATGATTTGTTCTCTTTCATACTAGGATCCATTTAAGAGCTTTTGGGTAAAAAAAAGGTTACATGGTTGGTATCACAAAGTGCCAAAGATAATTATTTATTAATATGCAGAGAGAGAGAGAGACAGACAGACAGACAGATGGAGACGAGAGAGATTAATTCACATACAACACTAAATTGCAATGTGTATGATTTGGGTTTAATACTTTGTATTCAAGAAGCCACTGATTAATCCATATGAAAATCCAATGCAACTAAATTCTTGAACTTCTCTATCCACTCCCAATGCTTGTGCACTCCAATTCATTTCCTTCAACAAGAACTTGTTAATAGAGAGACAAAACCTATAAAAAGTTATCTGTATGTTGCCTACAAACCTGAACTGCAGATTTGTTTTAATTCTATAGTTTTAGTCTAGCACCAACAGAGCATTGTCTGAAAAGAAGTAATTGAAAGAATGAGAAAAATAGGTTTGAGACATTATAACAACGGCTAAATAGATTTGTTTGATACATCTGAATTCCTCAGAGTGTGTTCTTATCCTAAGCATTGTTGGGGTTTATGAAGACTACTATTACTAATAACAGTACAATGGGTTTCCAGATAGGCCAGAAAGATTTGAAAGAAACCGTTGAAAGGATTATTGCCATGACTTAACACAAATTTATTAACCGCCTTATGACATGGAACTACAGAATTTGAAAATCTTTGGTTTAAATAAAAACGATTTATAAGTAGTCCTCATTTAGCAACCATTTGCAGTTACAACACTGATGAAAAAGTAACTTTGCAGCCAATCATATTTATGACTTTTTCAGATCTGTAAAGCAAAGGAAAGCTGAAATAAAGGCACAGTCACATTTTCAGTTAGTAAACACTTTGCTTAAGAACAAAGTTGCCAGGTCCAGCTGTGATTACGAAATGGGGACTTTTTTTCTCATTCAATCGGTCCAATTCTTGGAGACTGCCTGGACCAATCTCTGCAGTTTTCTTGGCAAGGTTTTTCAAAAGTGATTTGCCATTTCTTCCTTCCTAGGGCTGAGACAAAGGGACTGGCCCAAGGTCACCAAACTGGTTTTGTGCCTAAGGCTGGGTTTTAGCTTGATGTCTTAACCACTAGTTATTTAGTGTACATTATGGACTAGCAATATATATTAACATTTCATATAGATTAATAAAACACAAGAAAATATAAATGTTAAAAAGTTCTCTGTTCAAATACCAGTGTCTACACCATCTAATCACTGGAGCACAGCATCATTTATATTAAAAAAAAAATCAGATACTGAATTGGTATACGCTCTCAGCTTACGGCCAGTCACAATGTGATCTACAGTTTGACGTGGGACCGCCCAGTCACTGAGGGGAGGATACTAGGCCCCATTTATACAGAGTCCTGGCAGACGCCCTGTGAGATGTGAATCCTATTCAGGATTGTCCATTGCTGCAAGCAACCAAGCTCAGAGCACCAAGGATTCCACAATCCACAATTAAAATTCCTGGCTTGGCATTATGTACTACCTCAACCATTATTGCCACTTGGAATATTTTACTATATAACCTTGCTCTGAAATCTTAGTTGATTTTAAGGAACTCCAAATAATTTAAAAATCCAAAATAACTTACCTGATTTAGGATCTAGTTGAAGATGAAGAGGTTGAAATGATATTATAATAGAGATTTGGCTGAATGAACTGGGACAGTTGGCCTCTCCCAGTGGTGCTCACTTGAGTACCTTGTTCATCACCAGCACAAACTTGAAGTTGGGAGAAGGGGAGTTGCTGTGGTCCATTGGGATTCCATCTCCCTCTCCATGTTCCCTGTCCAGTTGAGTATCAATACTGACTTTGCAGAAGTAATCAGGACAGATGGGGGATTCTGTTGGAGTCTGCCATGCTGCCCATTAGTCCCCCTCCCTGAACTGACAAGAGCAAAATACCGTGTTTTCCCGAAGCCATAAAATAAGACCTAGCTTATTTTGAGGGGTTCGGGCTAATATAAGTCCTACCCCAAAAAGTAAGTCCTACTTAACCCTGCCCACTCCTTCCCACCGTAGTTTTTTTGGCAGGCCGGATCACGTGCCTCCCCTCGCCTTACCTGCTGCCGGTGCCACCGCTGCGAGTTCAATTTTGTGGCTCAGCTAAACTGTTCAGCTGCGGCTGGCCGCATTTCTCATCCGCTTCAGGAAGCCTGGGCGATGGTGTGGCAAGCTCTCCAGCTCCACGGGGAAGGAGCAGCCAGCATGGGTGCTGACGGCAGGACGTCCGCCCACTTCACCACCCTCCCTCCCCGAGCCTCCAGCGCTCCACCGCTTTGGTTGGCCTAGCCGCTCCCACCTCGGCATCCTTCCTGCCGCCACCCAGCACGGCTGCCCCGGGACTGGCCTGGCATGGGAAGGGTATGTGCCCCACCCACACCAGTACCATACTTGGTTCGCCACCACATTCTCACCGTGTTGCTTCTCCACTCCATGCACAGGCCCCGCTCCACCCCCACATGCTCGCGGCCTACTGGTACTGACAAAAAGAAGGCCTCCCCCAAAGTAAATCCCAGTGCTTACTTCAGAGCCCAAAAGAAAGTAAGACCGGATCTTACTTTTGGGGAAGCACGGTAGTATGTAGGAATGACCTTGGGAGACAGGGCAAAGAGACTTCGCCAAGGGAATGGTCAGATAAAAGGCAGCTGAGCCTAAAGCAGGAATGTGTGTGGGGCAAAAAGAGTCCCTCCCTAGTTTGGGGGATGGGAGGGGGATGGGAGGAGGGAGAAAGAAGTACTTTCAAACTTGCAAGATTCTTTAATGTAGCTTTACAATAAAGTAGAATTAGCTCCTTTGGTTGTGTTCCCCATCTGGTGCACCTCATAAAGCTGACAATCTTGCAAGTCTCCTTTTCCCAAAAAGAGGAGTTTTAGGAATGGTCTTTCCCCCAGGGAGTTCTGCAATCTGCCAAGCATCCAGCAGCAGCACAGATGATCAACTTGCAGAACGCCATGCTACAATTAACACAACAGCTGGGGCAGAATTTGCCTCAATTTGCAGCAGTACAATTTGTGGCTCAGCCAATGTTCCTCCATTCCCATGGGAGCTTGCTGGAGAAATTCAGAGTGGGCCAGGAATAATTCTGGACATTCACTGTCAATGTATTATGTTTATGGGAGGCAAGCTAGTGGAGTTTTCTACCGAATGCACCAAAGTGACTTCTGCTAAGTTTGCTGAAGGAAGCAGCAGCTAAGTGGGCCCTACTGTTCAAACTGTACTTTAATTTTATCAGACATCATCATGTTGCTGCCTAGTTTACACACTGTTTTTATTTTATATCTTATTGGATTTTATCTGTATATTTTTATTCAAATTTTATTTTCAGTGTGCTTTATTGCAAACCACCCAGAGAGCTTCAGCTGCCAGACAGTTTACAAAATAGAAATAAATAAATGAGCTCAGTTTCTTCCTCTTTCCTGGTGATCATGCTTGAAATAGCTGGGAAGAAAGATGTATCACTAGGGAGTGTAGAATGACAGATATTGAACAGCAAGCATGCCAGAGAAGCATATGGAAACTCTGCAAAATAATTACAATAATTAAGAAAAAGGGATTATTAAAATGTATTATTGATCTAGACTAGAGAATATTGTAAGATTCCTCTTTGATGAAAATTGGGAAATACCTATTTTTATGTAGTTAAGTCACCAACTACCGTAGGAGAGGTAACTGGACCTTATTAGCAGAAGACAGATCGGAACTAATTGATATATACAGCATTGGATTTCTACAGTCGTTCTTTAATTCATTTACAAATAAGTCCACTAATGCTTAAAAAGAGGCTATTGCTCATCCACAGGATTCTTATAGATATTCAGGAATATGTGTGGGGTGAATGTCAAACATGTATTTGGCTTCCCTTCCATTTTACATATTACATGCATTCTGTGCAATGTAAAGTTCAACAAACTGGCACCTACTTGGTCTTGAGAGCAAAAGAGGACAACTCATAGACTTTCATTATGAAACAAAGCCCTCTCAGAAGCAATAAAACAACTCCTAAAGGTAGTATTTCCTGGGACAGCAAGCGAAAAGGTAAAAACAAGGACACTGTCTATACATTCTCTCTTATTGGATTAATACTGCTCTACATTTGACCTGCATGTTAACCTATAACGCTATTATACATACAATGAAATCTCTATTACATAGTCCCAGGATGCCTTTCTGCAGCAAAGTCATGCAGGGTCACACAGCAAACATTCTTCATCGTATCTGCACAACATTAACAATATTAGTTCAATATTTCTTAGAGACCTGCTCCTTAGATCTGGTGCCAATGAATACCCATTTACCGCATAGGGGAAGATTGTTATCCCCAGTAGGTCACAAACCTGAAAGGCCTGCCCTCTTCCACTCCACTCCACTCCACGCACACATACACCCACACCCCATCTCCTCAGTCAAACAACATCGATTTTGTTTTCACTGCCGTTGAACCTATTTGTAAGAAGTGCAAAAACAGTCCTGTATTTCAGAATCTGGATCCTGACATGAAAACCTCATCTGGTTTCAGGTAGTCCTAGACCAGGGGTAGGCAACCTTGGCTCTTTTATGACTCGTAGACATCAACTCCCAGAATTCCTGAGCCAGCCAAGCTGGCTCAGGAATTCTGAGAGTTGAAGTCCACGAGTCATAAAAGAGCCAAGGTTGCCTACCCCTGTCCTAGACTTACGACCGCAATTGAACCCAAAGTGGCAGTTCTTAAGCGAGACATTTGTTCAGTGAGGGTTGCCCCATTTTGCAACCTTCCTTGCCACAGTTGTTAAGTGAATCCCCGCAGTGGTTAAGTTAGTAACCGCGGTTGTTAAGTGAATCTGGCTTTCCCCATAGACTTTGCTTGTCAGAAGGTCGCAAAAGGGGATCACGTGACCTTGGGACACAGCAACGGTCATAAATAGGAGTCAGTTCCCAAGCATCTGAATTTTGATCACCTGATCATAGGAATACTACAAAAGTCGTAAGTGTTAAAACATGGCCATAAGTCACATTTTTCAGTGGTGTTGTAACTTTGAACGGTCACTAAACGAATTGCTGTAAATCGAGGACTACCTATACTTTTTAGGCCGGGATCAAAAGCAGAATGCCCTCTCTTTGTTTTATTCAGACATGATCCCCAACAGCACATCTTTACTCAGTGATTGCAGGTAGTCCTCTACTTACGACTGCAACAGGGACCAGAATTTTGATCATAAGTCATGACGGTCATAAGTCGAGGCACCCACGTAACCAGACCCAATTTTACAGCCATCTTTATAGCAGTCATTAAGTGAATCATGGGGTCCATAAGTCTGGACCCATTCTCCCAAATGGGAGGGGGGTTTTGCCGGAAACTGGCAAAAACCATTGCAAATTGTGATTGTGTGATTGCAGGATGCTGCAATCGGTCGTAAATGGGAGCCAATCGCCCAGCATCTGAAATGTGGTCATGTGACCACAGGGGAAAGCAACATTTCACAACAGCTGAAAGTGCTTTATGGGACCTAAAATCCCCCCTTCCAAGGCCATCGTTAACTCCAAACGGGTCATTAAACAATTGGTCGTGAGTCGAGGACTACCTGCATAAGAAATTCTCAAGCAAGTAGTTTTCTTGCTTGCTTGCTACCAGCTCTATAAACGATGGGTTGGTTCTCAATATGACAATAGGTGCAGCAGTTTCACTTCCACAGAGCCTTTACTTTTTTATTCCTCCCATGTTTTTCAAAAAGAGTGCAGGCCCAGGAAAGGGAGGGTAGAATTCTTACACTGAGGTGATGGCAATCCTAAAGAGAGAGAGAGTCAAGATTTCCCAAAAGTGTGTGCTTCTATGTGAACAGAACTGCTGAAGCTGAAAGAGAGGATTAGATCAGTGAAATCCCTAACTGTTCTCTGTTATTTAATCTCAAAAGTTCCAGGGTAAGGATTCTGCGAACTAAGAATGCTGTGTAAGAGGACACTCTGCCTATGTGCATATCCAGGTTAAGCTTCCACACTGAGGTTTCTAGGTTAGGGTCTAGGTGATAAGAAGATCTAACAAGTTTAAATATGGACTCATTTTTTCCCCCTAGGATTCAACAACACTGATTGTGGTTCACACCGCAGGCTTAACCTACTTCCTGCATTATTCCACTTCCTGGGTTCACACAACACATGAAACCTTAACTAGCCAATGGTCTGGGACTGGTTGCACTAAGCCTAACCAAAGTTAAGACCCATCAAGCTTACCATGTTGCGTGAATACATGCACTACGCCTTGGCCTTAGTTAAGCCTGCGGTGTGAAAATAGCACTACAAAGCACTTGTTAGAAAGTCCTTCTTAGTAGATAGTGGTCATAGGTAGCACCAAATGCTATTTGGATAGCTGAAGTTCATCCTTTGTGCAATTAGGCTGACGAGAGATATTCAAGCAGGCCTAGTGGAGTTTCAGAGCTCGGCCAAGTCATTCCTTGGGCAGCCCTTCTCATGACCTATTGTGAGATGCACTTATCATGATATTGGGCAAAGCGTTACGCCGCTTCTTCCAGGAGCCCAGCTCCCGAGAGTATCTCCTTATCTGCCTAAACCAGTGGTGAGTCCGTGCCTTGTCCCCGTCTCGAAATATGAAGGATTCCCGTCTTATCTCAAGCAGTTCAAATGTGTCGTCACAATCGGGATCCACAGAGACCACACAGTTGCTGAGTCTCAAGGGTTCCCTGAGCAAACTGAACTTCCCATTGTTCTTATCCCGAATAAGTACCAATACTGCATCTTTCACAGAGCCTGGCTCCCCCGGTTCAAAACTGGACTCGGATGCACGCCTGATATTGACCATCAGGAGAACTTGCATCTTCTGGAACTTTAACGTCTTGCTGCCCTTTTTCACCCATTGCCCATCAGGTGGCTGGGCCAGCTGCAAGGGACCTTCCATCACAAACCGTGTTTCTTCCCGCAGCCAGCCCATCGTTTTGAGAGCAGTTTCCCTCATTTCAATGTTGATCACCTCCCTGTTCTTCTTACTGTCCTGGCGGAAGGAGCGCAGAGTCCACGAATTCCCTTCCTGCTTGGTTTTCATGTTGATGTGTTCCAGATGGGACTCGATGCGGCTTTTGGCCTCCAGCAGACTGCTGTAATCTGGGTGGTACTCCATAGTGGCTTTGATGATACGGCTCAGAAGGAGGGGATACTTTGTGACTCTTTGTAGTGGAGTTATGAGGAAGGACCTCAGATTCATGCGACGAAGGGCGGTGTTGTCATTCTGCGAAACATTGAGGAATATCCTGCAGACCATGGAAACAATAAATCATAACTTTTTTCATATATACATACAAAAACTGTAGGAAAACCTGAAGGTGGTGTTAAAAGAGGGATCAGCCTAGAATTCCTATGTAGTCACAACCCTCCTTGAATTTCATTGATCCTTATCTAACTCCTAGCCTAGCTAGCAGGTGCTTTTAGCATTTTTCCACTCATCCTTCTGGATAATCAGTCAGTTTAATTGGATCCTCAGGTGTGGACCTTTCTTTCATGTTGAACAAAAACATAATTATCTCTAGTGACCAAGTGCCTTAAAAATGCATTATGCTGGTTCTTGGTGGAACTGAATTATTTTTCCACTCATCCTTCTGGATAATCAATCAGCCTATTTCAGGGTTTAATTTGTTATATTAACTATGCAGCATGGAATAAAAAAAAATAGGAGTTCTAATCTTACTATGAGTCATCTTTTAGATGAAACAAGGATTGAAATGTCAACCCTACTGGTTCACTCCTACCAGAGATGCAAAGAAGACCTATTGAGGCAAATTTCTTCATTTCTGCATAACGGCAGCATAGCAAGCTGGCCCAATTATTACCCAGACTTAGGCAGATGTTTTGGACAAGACAGCTGAATGCAGCATACATTATCATCTTTATCATTGGTAAGTGCTGCCCATTATAACTATGAATGGAAGTTTAATTCTGGGGAATGCAGCATAGATTATATGCTGCATCCCCAGAATTAAAGTTCCATTCATAGTTATAATGGGCAGCACTTACCAATGATAAAGATTTACTTAATCACAATTTGAATTGCCTTTGTACATGGCAGAGGGCACCCCGTGTGACTTTACTAGCTTACTAAATTACTATAACAGCTTCCCATGAGGGACTCTGGCAACCTGCCCTTTTGCACATCAGTTCCCTATTCTTGTTTTTCTAAAATGTCTCACATATAGACATGAAAATGGAGAAATGTGTAAGGACCATCTACTTCTTTTCACGTCTAACGAATGAAGAAGAGATCGTCCATGTTAAGAAAAGAAGCTAAAATGCACTAGTTGGGTAGAGTCCTCAACGTTTAGGATCATGTTATGGGTTAGATAAGGTTTGCTGGACCCAACTGAACTCATGCCAGTGAGCCCATCCTTAGGGTCTGATTCTAACGGCCCAGTAGAATAACAATACTGAAAACTGCAGCAGATTAAATATCGAAATGGTCATTACAATTTTATTTCCAGAACTTTATAAACATACTGTATTCCACTTTCTTTCAAATGTATTTTTTTTTTGCTTCTTGTTCCATCTGAAAATAATTGTAACTATTAAATATAACCATTCAAAAATTAGAATTCTGAATTTCCTAAATCTGATTTATCCAATTGGTAGCCAAGGACTAGTTTTCTAACACTTACGAGTTTTGTAGCTGCTAACTAATTCCAAGGGAATGCAAATGTAGATTTTATTATCAAGTCATACTTTGGGCAAGAATTTGTATTTCCAAGAGAACATACTAGATTCCTAATCATAGTCTTACATTTCCTTTCTAACTATCAAATACTTAAGATTTTTTTTTTGGGGGGGGGGACTTCACAGAAGATGGGCATTTTCTTCAAGAATACACTTTGCTATACTTACAAATTTCTACTTCAGGAGTAATGAAGTAAAATAAAACCTTAGGTTGGCTCAATAGTTTCAGTTAAGTTTAGCAAAGTAATAGAATCTATCTTAGTGACTTTCACTGTACTCTGAGTCAGGGTTGACTCAAAGTGTTGATTAGTCCCTGCCATTTGCTTAGCATGATTTTCTGAATTGGTTTGTCATTGCCTTCTTCGTGGGCTGAGAGAGAGGGACTGGTTCAAGACCACCCAGCTGGCTCAGTGCCTAAGGTGGGACTAGAACTCATGGCTTCCCAGTTTCTAATCTGAACCATTACAGGTAGTCCTCGACTTACAACAGTCCATTTAGTGACCATTCAAAGTACAACAAGAGACTTATTTTTCACACTTACGACCATTGCAGCGTTCCCATGGTCATGTGATCAAAATTCAGACACTTGGCAACTGGCATGTATTTATGGCGGTTGCAGTGTCCTGGGGTCATGTGATCACCTTTTGTGACCTTCTGACAAGCAAAGTCAATGGGGAAGCCAGCTTCATTTAACAACCTCATTACTAACTTAACAACTGAAGTAATTCACTTAATAACTGGCAAAAAGGTCATAAAATGAGGTAAAATTCACTTAACAACTGTCTTGCTTAGCAACAGAAATTTTGGGCTCATTTGTGGTCATAAGTTGAAGACTACCTGTGACTCAGGGAAACCAATAGGGGAGTAAAGCCAGTTCATTATTCCAGTTGCCAACATGTCTCTGTTGGTACAAGCTCAGAAGCATCTTGTTCCTCAGCTCTAGTCAACAATAGTTTCTCTGGAAAACCTCATCAGTTATTCATTCCCCAAAGCATAATTGTTTCCAAGCATGTTTTCTGTTCTTGAACCTCCTGCTCACGTTACCTAGTTAAAATTTGGAACCCTCCTCACCTGAGTAATTCTTTTTCTTTCTCCAATGCATTGAGCATGTTCACGGAGGATGGCTGCTGGAGACAATATGTCTGGAATGCAGGCAGCATGTTCACAAACTCCAGGAATATTTCACCAATGCACACAGTCATGAGGTCATCATCACCCTGTCAACATAGAAGATGAAGAAGAGAAACAGAAATATTTGAGGTCTTCCAAGTATTGTATTGCCGGTTGACTGTAAAATACATGTATTCAATGTGATAAACGCCTCAAGGGCAAATTCTTTGCCATATTTTACCTGTAAAATATACATTGTTCCTGGAGTCCTTTTTAAATACGATCTACTGTATTACAATAAGACAATAGGACAGAGAGCTAAGGAATAAAGCCTATTGCTGGTGGGTTCATAACTGCAAAAACGTGTGCCTCATCTTTTCTGTACAGAAATTCAAGGATATTCAAGAAAGCTTAATGTTGTCTGTAATCAGAAATTATATTTAGCTTCTTAGTAAGAGTTTTGTGAGATACACAAATTTTGTTAACAGCGCAATTTTTATCTTTCTTTTTTTACTTTTCTATTTAATGATAGGTTACTTTGGGAGAACAAAACTATAAAAGTTGTCTAAGTGTCCTTCAAATAATGAAGGATAAATAATTAATGGGGAGGAGATGGCATTCTTTGATCAAGTGACAAAATTAGTGGACCAGAGGAATGGTGTAGATATAATTTACTTGGACTTCAGTTAGGCATTTGATAAAGTAGACCACAACCTACTACTTGATAAGATAGAAAAATGTGGGTTAGACAGCATCACCACCAGATGGATTTGTAGCTGGCTGACCAGCCGTACTCAGCGTGTGGTCCTCAATGGAACTGCATCTACAGGGAGGGAAGTGTGTAGTGGGGTGCCCCAGGGCTCTGTTCTGGGCCCAGTGCTCTTCAACATCTTCATCAATGATTTGGATGAGGGGATAGATGGGGAACTTATCAAATCTGCAGACAACACCAAGCTGGTAGGAATAGCCAACACTCCAGAAGACAGGCTTAGGATACAGGAGGATCTGGACAGACTTGAACACTGGGCACTATCTAACAAAATGAAATTCAAGTAAGGTTCTACATTTAGGCAAGAAAAACCAAATGCACAGGTATAGTATAGATGGTACCTTGCTCAATAGTAGTAACTGTGAGAGGGATCTCGGAGTCTTAGTGGACAATCACTTAAATATGAGCCAGCAGTGTGCTGCAGCTGCCAAAAAAGCCAACACAGTGCTAGACTGCATTTACAGAGGAATAGAATCAAGATCACATGAAGTGTTAATACCACTTTACAATGCCTTGGTAAGGCCACACTTGGAATACTGCATCCAGTTTTGGACACCATGATGTAAAAAAGATGTTGAGTACAGAGAAGAGCAACAAAGATGTTGGAATTGGGAATGTCTAGTTTAATGAAGAGAAGTACAAGGGATGACATGATAGCAGTGTTCTAATATCTCAAGGGTTGCCACAAAGAAGAGGGAGTTAAGCTATTCTCCAAAGCACCTAAAGGCAAGACAAGAAGCAACAGATGGAAACTAACCAAAGAGAGAAGCAACCTAGAACTAAGGAGAAATTTCCTGACAGAACAATTAATCAGTGGAACAACCTGCCTCCAGAAGCTGTAAATGCTCCAACACTGGAAGTTTTTAAGAAGAAACTGAGCAAAGGGTTGGACTAGATGACCTCCAAGATCCCTTCCAACATTATCATCATCATTATATTATTATTATTATTATTATTATTAGTAGTAGTAGTAGTAGTAGTAGTAGTAGTAGTAGTAGTATGTTGAGTTGCTTATTCTCCTCCCAACTCGATTTTCTGATAATTTCCACTTTCCTTTTTTAAAAAAATATATTTTATTAATTTTTTACAATAACAATCTTTAGTACTTAGTGAATAATGTGTTGTCTGGGTTCATATATTTAAAAACAATCAATAATAATTAATTTTTATAGCTGATCAATATATTAGTTGATAATATATTTCCTTGAGCCTCTCTTCTTCCAGCAATATTCTCCTTTTGTCTACATTAAAGAAATATAATTCTTAATACTTTCAATATATAGAGAGTTGGGTATAAACATTTTTCTAGTATTTATACATATAACAATAACATCAACATATAACATCTTTTTTAATCAGCTTATGTTTCAATTGTATTTATACAAGTCATCTTATTAAGTCATTATATGTCCTGTTTTCAAGATTCTTATTTAAGCTTTATTTCCTCTCAATATTGAAACCACTCTTATCAGTCATAATTTTATCAAAATTCATTATCTTTGAATATCCAAACTTTTCATTCAAATACACCATCTCAATATTTTTACATTTCATTTATTATAAAAATATTATACTACTTATATATCTTATCCCTTACTATTGAGCCCCTTTATGTCCAAGCTTTATCTATTTTTTTGACCATGTTCAAACAAGAATTTAATCATATAATACATCATCTAGCAATCTTACTACAGGGCCTCTTTATATCCAAACTTTATATTTTTAACCATATTCAAACAGGTGTTTAGTCATATAGTATTCCATCTAGTAAGTTGAATCACATCTCTTAACTCTAAGTCTAATCTTCTTTTACCAGGTCGCTTTCCAAATCAGTAGATTTAGCTTGCCAGGTTGTATTTTTGCTAGATGATGTATTATATGATTAAATTCTTGTTTGAACACGGTCAAAAAAATAGATAAAGCTTGGACATAAAGGGGCTCAATAGTAAGAGGGATAAGATATATAAGTTATAAAAAAAATGAATTTTTCAGCTTCACTTGGAGTGGCCAGGAATCAAGCAAGTATAAAATTTGGCTATAGCCTGAACTATGGCCTTTCTCTGACCATCTGTCTATCTGGATCAGTACCATTTATTCCAGAAGACAAAGAACCTGTGCTCCTTCAGCTGTTGATAAGCTACAGCTCCCACGATCCCTCACGATTAGCCATATTAATTGTTTTGCCAAGGCTTGTAGTTTAACAGTGCTTGAAGGCTGCAAGTTCCTTGCCCTACCCAACTCAGTTTGGCCAGCAATTCTCCCAATTTTATAGAGAGGCCATCTGTCGCTTAAAAATTAAAGCAGAGCTTTGTATGCCTGGGACATTCTGTATGAGGGGGAAAAAAGTGCAATAACTGTGTATTAGTATTAAATGAAAGCTCTTCCCCAAAGTGATTGCCAGTCTTAAAATAATAATCTCTGTCTCATCTGGCTTTTGAGGTTAACCAGTAAGGCTTTCAGACTGACATAACGTTTTAAGAAATGCATTTCCAATCCATTATAAATAACCTTGAATGCCTTCAGGAAAATTGGACAATCTGCAGTGTGGTTTGAATAATACTTAAGAAATTAACTACCATAATGTTTATTCATTCATTCATTCATTAACTGTTGGCAAAGCTAAGATTCTTTTAATTATTCACTCGGAGGCAAAAACTACTGCATTGGGATGATGCAGTGAAAATGAATTTCTGTAGAAAATTACAGGTGGTCCTTGACTTATGACTATAGTTGGGACCAGAATTTCTGTTAAGGGTGGTTGCTAAGTGAGTCATGTCCAATCTTATGACCTTTTTCTGCTGCAATTATTAGCTGAATCATTGCAATTGTTACATGAATCGTGCAGTTATTAGCTGAATCTGACTTCCCTCCATTGTCTTTGTCAGAATCTGGCTGGGAAGGGTCACAGAGGATGATCAAATGACTCTGAGATGGTACAACTATCACACATACATACATGCCATTTGCCAAGCACCCAAATTTTGATCAGTTGACTGTGGGAATGCCGCTTCTAAGAGTGAGGAACAGTTGTGAGTCAACTTTATCAGTGCTGATAAACTGGTCACTAAACAAATGGTTGTAAGTTGAGAACTGGTTACCTTTCAGAGGCAATAATGAACTACAAAATATAAACAGGCAGTCTTTACATTAAATTAGCTTTACATTAAATTAGAAGGTATTGTGGCTGGTTAACATCATTTTCCTTCAGCCAAAAGAAATGCTTGTATTTGTAATTGATGGCAGATGTCACAGCGCAACGGGTTTATTGAAGTTTTGGGCAATGAAGGTGGACTTCATAGGGAAGAACAGACATTCAGTTAACTAAATTGGGAGCTTCTTCATGTGCCTCTTCTAGATAGATGAGCAGAAAGGATTCTGGGATACATTGGTGCAACCAAATATCGGGAGGGCACCTTCTCAGAATTCTGAAGTTCTCAATTCATCGGATTTCAACAAGACAATGAAGAAGCAGCTTGGACACAGTAATTCTTAGGTAAGTGTTACAAACTAGCATGCTTCAGAAACAAATAAGAAACAATTCAACTGTTGCAAACGGAAAGGGAAATGCGATTTGAAGTCACACACTACCTGCTCAAAAGCCTGATCAATCTCTTCTTGAAGATACTCCAGAAAGTTTTCATTGAGGTCAATTAGCTCCTGGATATTGCTAAAAACCACCAGCAGTTGTTCTTGGGTTAGGAGGCCAGCTGCTTGCATGGGGAGATAGAATTCCTCCTTGATGATGCGTAGGTCTTCCCCATAACTAGCTTCAGTGTTGACAAATTCCAACACGGATTCTTTCCGTTCTGTCCTGCACTTCAGGCACTTCTCACAGAGAATGGCCTGTTTCCTGTTTTGATTCTGGACATCTGTTTCCAATGGAAAATCTCTGCCACCACAGTCAGTGCAAGGTTGATGGGCTTCCCAGGCCTGTAGAGAGGTTAATGTTTCTGATGCCCGGTTCTTCCACTTCCTACCCAACACCTGGCTGATGCCACTATCTGCCCGCTCCATTTTGGATGACCTAATCCTTGGCACCCCTCCAACGGTGGTGTCAGCATTGTCTCTCTCCTCATTCCCGCCTACAATTCCACTATCTGCACTGAGACTGCTAACGTTGCTCCAGCGGTGTTTGGAACGAAAAGAGCTGCTCTGGACATGGTGATTCTCATCAACATAATTGACAGTGGCTTTAGTCAGTGGTGGACCTGAGCAGAGAAACAAAAAGAATGGACATCACTGCCTAGCAATAAAAAGGTTCTCCTGTAATGATACAGCGTTGTTTTCGCTAGAATCCTATAAATAACCTGACCAATTCTGCTCAGAAACTAAGCAAAATTTGGACCAGCTTACTAATTTGGAGGGAACACCACCAGGAAATTCTAAGACTGTAAGATAAATTAGGAAGTTGAAAACAATTCTCAAAATAAGGAAACCATATGCGGCTATCAAGAAAACTGCAAAGATCTGTCCATGTATTCACCAGGAGTCAAGTTCAACCTGAGAGTATCTCTACTGTTACTATTAAGTAGAATATATATGTTTTTATCATTTTATCTATAGCTAATGTAAGCCACCAACACCATTTCCTTAGAAAATTAAATGAACTATGAAAGTTGGATAGGAGAATCAGCCATTATTAAACTAAATACATTCTATCAGTTATGTGGCTTGATAAATGATTATCAATATTTGCAGTTAAGAAACTTAACAACAAAAACCGTCATGAAACTCCTAGCAGATAAGCATCCATGGCTGGGAGGGGGGTGTCATGCGGTGCTTGTGGATCACAAATTCTTCATGTCAATTACTTTTACATTCAAAAAATACATTCCAATTCTAAACAATGCCTCTGTTCTTAATTTGACCTCTAAGAAAGAAAAGTCTCATTCGCTGCATGGCTTGGTTTTATGTTTGAAAGAATTTTCCTCTTCCTTATCCTAGCCCAGGGGTAGGCAACCTTGGCTCTTTTATGACTCGTGGACTTCAATTCCCAGAATTCATGAGCAGCATGGCTCAGCTTGGAAACCTCTCCCTTTTCCCTCAGCATGGCTGGCTCAGGAATTCTGGGAGCTGAAGTCCATGAGTCATAAAAGAACCAAGGTTGCCTACCCCTGTCCTAGTAAATGGACTTCTCAATTTGCTCCAGAGGTTCCTGCAGGACCAGTTGTTTCAGGTTTGTCTCTTGTTCTGTATAAGATTAAATGCTAGATTAATGCCTGATACTGTGATGGCATTATCTTCCCTTTCTAACTACTGTACTAAGAGCAACTTCAGAACATGCCTAGTCTAAGATATCTGCTTATTAGAGCAGCGGTCTCCAAACTTGGCAACTTGGCTGGCTGGAGAATTCTGAAAGTTGAAGTCCACCAATCTTTAAACTGCCAAGTTTGGAGACCCCTGATCTACTGTATTCTAGAGGGTCTGTCATAAAGGGCAGGAAGTAATGACAAATCCATTGCATCTGTGCTCTTCTTTCTCTTATAGACCCTACAGCAAATGTCAGTAATGCAATGCTCTAAATAGTATGTGTGAACCCATAAAATTAAATGTAAAACTATTTCCTTTAAAAGTGCAACATTTCATGAGATCATGAAACTTCAGTTTTCCCGCCTGTGACCTCATGAGAGATGAGCTCAGCAGCTGGTGACAGATGGACAACAGAATAAAATGATTTGCTATTATCTTTTTCAGATGTTTCTTCAAGTTCCAGGTTAGGCTATAATTTTGGATGTCAATAGTCTCCAGCCCAAATATTAATCAGGTGCTGATTAACAGTTTTTGATCTTTGAAAACTATTAGGTTTTCAAGATCAACCAATGCTGCCATCTAGGCAGGACAACCCATTATAAAAAAGGAGACAAAGACAGAGGATTTACTGGATTCTCTCTCTTGCCGGCGCTTCTGGGCATGGTGTCGGGCTACTGCAGCTATCTTCAACTCCAGCTGTTTCCTCTTTACGGCATCTGTTGGCATTGGATCACTGAAATGAGGCCGTAGCCGGCACTCCCGCTGAACTTTGGCGCAGACCGGGGTTTCGTAGGAGATGTCAGAACTTGATCTGCGGCAATTTGAGCTGGAGCTCTGGAAGGTTAAAAAAAAGTGGATTCAGAAGAAAGCTTTATACAAGATAGCCAAATATACGTTAACAGGGATGCGCACAGCAAGTTAATATTTGTCAGATTCACCGAACATGCATCTGCCCCTTGTGTGGATCTGTTCAATGTTGTAATGTGGTCACAGTGGCAGAAGAGTTTGCATGATAGTACTGCAGAGGATATTTCTTCATTTGCTCCTCAGTGACCCTATGGCAGCAGTGTACATAAGAAGCCACAATCATATCAAAGCGACGACACCTGCATCATGATGTCATTGCTCAAAGGACGCCAGTTAGTACTTGAATCACAGAATCTAATGCAAGTGCCTAAGTTACATCATTCAAATCACGATGCATCCTTTTTTATTTGAGACCCTCGGCCCAAGCCACTTAACTTACTGTGGATTGATGACAGTCTTCCACAAAAGTGTGATCTGCTTTCTGAATTTCACAGGATTTGGGGGAAGGGAGATCAAGAGTAATTTCACCAGTGCAGCTATGAGAAAAGGGACAAAATCCAATTAATACTATTCACAAAATAGGGCCTAAAATAGTTTGAAAGATGCAACCGATTTACAGTCAACTAATTAACTGTCCCAGGAACAAATAGTTACATTCAAAATGCAAATCTATTTGTACTGACTAATGAAAGAGAGAATGCTTCATCTCATTCCTATATAGGTTATTCAAACAAGGTACCTCTGGTGATATTGCTAATTGAAATTATGGTAATTTGAATAAGGTAAACTCCTTCAGATAGAATGGTAATAAACTCATATTCTCTTTCTTTGTTATTCTGGGATAACAAGATTTTATTTATCCTGAGAAAGAAGAAAACCTTCTGTTCCATGTCACAAAGTGCTCCCTAAATCATGAGATGTCACATATAATTTCTCATCCATAAATTATGAGCAAATAGTGTAGCAAGACCCAAGGCACGGAAGACTGAGAGTAAGAGTGAGGAACCACTCAGCTTAGAACTGCAAAAATAATATGAGTGCTTAGTAAATATTCAGTTTTTACATTAGATTTAGACTTTTAAAATATTTACTATTATTTTGCTATATAACTCAAGGCAGCAAGCTTGCCTAATATTTGTTCACCCTCCTATTTCCCCACAACAATCACCTGTGAGGTGAGTTGGGCTGAGACAGAGTGACCGGCAGAAGGTTCCCCCAGCTGGCTTTCTTGCCTGAGGCGGGACTAGAACTCACAGTCCCCTGGTTTCTAGCATGGGGTCTTAATCTCTGCACCAAACTGTCTCAATTCATATTCATATCATTATTCAATAAATACTGAAGATTTTTCCAGATGTTAGACGTGTATCCTTTATACCAGGGGTGTCAAACTCAATTCATTGAGGGCCGCATCAGCATTACGGGTGTCCTCGGGGGGCTGGGTAGGTGTGGCCAGGGTTGGCGCAGCCTACTGGGTGGGCATGGCTGGAGTGGGTGTGGCCTACTGGGTGGGCATGGCCAGCTCTAATCGTTCGCGTCAAGAGTGCCTGTGGGGGCTGGGCAGGAGTGGGACAGATCTGAGGGTCTCTGGCAGAAGTGGGTGGGACCAGGGCAAGCGCCAAGGCATGGTCTACTGGAAGAGCCTGCCGAAACCCCTCCCCCGGAGCCCATCAAGCCGGATATGTGAAGTAGGCGAGGGCCATTTGCTGGCCACTTCCAGGTGATGGTGCATTTCTTCATTCCTCAGAAAGGGTGATACCTCCCCAGCATGCACCCAGGGGACAGGGCCGATGCAGCAGGGGCTGGTTCCTCGCTGTTTCCAGATGGCCTTGTGGAGCTAAGACTGAATGCATTTCAGCATAGATAGCCACCACAAAATTGTACATTGGCTCCCGGCCGGCTTGGGCCGGGGCCAAGGCAGCGGGGGCCATTCCCTCACTGTTTCCAGGATGGCTTCGCGGGCCACATGAAACCATGTCGCGGGCCACATCTGTGCCCCCGGGCCTTGTGTTTGACATGTCTGCTTTATACTGATTTATTAACAGGATTCAGAGATATCATTCCTTTCTGCAAACATGTTTGAAATAAGAGATTTGTTTTTAAATTTGAGATCAAATAACTAGATGCTGTTGTAGAGTGATACCCTCTATCTCTATAGAGTCTTTTATTAATTATCATGCAGATCTTCACACACTGAGTATTCAATGTGCCCTAAAATATTGCCAACACTGAATTATTTATATGTGGTCCTCAACTTACGATCACAATGGAGTTCAAAATTCCTGTTACTAAGCAAGACAGTTTTTAAGAGAGTTGTTAAGTGATTTTCATGGCCTTTTTTTGCCACAGTTGTTAAGTGAATCATGCAGTCGTTAAGTGAATCTGGCTTCCCCCATTGACTTTGCTTGTCGGAAGCCAGCTGGGAAGGTTACAAATGGTGATCACATGACTCCAGGAAAGCGCAACTGTCATAAATACATGCCAAGCACCCAAATTTTGATCATGTGACCTTGGTGATACTGCAATGGTTGTTAAGTATGAAAATTGCTCATGCCACTTTTTTCAGTGTTGTTGTAACTTCGAATGGTCACTAAACAAATTGTTGTAAGTCAAGGACTTAATAGAAGTCAAGGATCCACTGCAAAGAATGCTTATTTTATTTACAGAAGACCCATAAAAGAGTCTTGTTGTAAATACTACCATTGTACTAGAATTGTACAATACAAAGCAAAATGATAAAGCAATCTACAAAAAGTAGAAAAAAATACCATATTCTAATTTCATAATTTAGTAAATTAAATATTTTAAAATCCTTATATGGAATCATAGAATCATAGGCCTGGAAGGGATCTTGGAGGTCTTCTAGTCCACCCCCCCTGCCCAAAGCAGGAGTCCTTATTCCATCCTGGACAAATGGCTGTCCAATCTTTTCTTGAAAACTTCCAGTGATGGTGCACCCACAACTCTGGGAGGCAAACAGTTCCACTGATTAATTTAAAATAATGTATGTATAGATATAACTGCAACTCATTTGGGGACTGCTGGGAGCAGATTTAAGTATATTTAAAATGAATACACTTAAATAATTAATTGTGACTATCTCAGATCTCTTTCATTCCAAAGGATCCACTACAGACTTGAGCCCATATTACTGTTATTTTTGAAAGCACTTTGCATGAAACTTATAATATCAGGGTATTATCTCCCACATGCAAGCAGAAGAGTAGAGCCAAAAGACACGTCAATCTTGAAAGATAAAGATCTTCACAAAGCAAGGAAGGCAAAACGTGTGGCTTATATATACCCCTGATTAGCTGAATCTGGCATATAAGCTGCTGTGTCGCTCATGGAAACCTGCTTAGCCTTTCAATAAATTGGATTTGGAAGAAAGACCTCTTTTATAGATCTTAATTGCTGAGAAAGCACACATACGAGGCAGTGTTCCTTGAGATAATAAAAACATCTGCCCTTTCAAACTGCAAACATAATCTCCCCTTGTGCCTAGAAATAAGCTGGCTTCCAATGAAGTCATCCAACATACTTAGCCAGGGGTCTTCAAACTTGGCCCTTTTATGACTTGTGGACTTCAACTCCCAGAATTCCTCAGCCAGCGTGCCTGGCTGAGGAATTCTGGGAGTTGAAGTCCACAAGTCATAAAAGGGCCAACTTTGAAGACCCCTGTACTTAGCCAACAGAGGACTTGTGCCTAGATTCTAGAAGGTTATCCAATGCTGTAGCACAAAAGTAGGTAACACTTTGCACTAAAGCTCCAAAAACTTTTATTATTGAAGATGATTCTTGAAGTCCAGAGCACTTACAAGGCATCTGTTAGACCACCATAGCATCTGCAGACAAATAAAGAATGCACAAGAGAGGAAGTGCTTTTAGTTAATTAATGAATTATATAGGATTTTTTTCTGCATTTGAATAAATCTGTCTGCTTCTGTGTTCAAGCACGTGCATATATATATGTACAATTCCATTTTGAATGGATCCTGGTTCACTCATCTCTGCATATCATTTCTTATTGCATTACATCAGCTATCTTCCGGCCAATATTTTTTTCATTTATTCTCTCATCTTCTATTAGATCACCAAATGTTGTAACTGAACAAGGAAATTGATGACTTCTGGATGAGGAAAAAAATAAATAAAGTTAGACACACTATCTGGCATGGGATCAGTTTAGGAGGGTGCTGACTGGAAAAAAGCTGGGGTGATTATAAATGAACTAATGTATGGCTCTTATTATATGAAAGCATTGCAAGTGTCTTCTATATAGCAGAAAACGGGGTTCTCAGAAAACTGTCTTATCTATCAAATCTATCCTAGATTTTGTTTTTTGTTGCAATGGTCCATCCCTGGCCTTTATTTATTTACATAATCTTCTGCAGTCCTTTCTCTACCAACCAGATTTTCCCCTGGAAGCACATTTCTGTCTAACTGGCCCAACATTTAAAAGTACTTTATCTCTTGTGCATTTTTCATATGTCACTACTACGATGGTCCAGCAAATGCTTTTAAATGCTCTTGATTTCATGAGTTATCAGCCCTGGCCAATAAGATCAGTAGCAAGAATTCATCAGAACTCTGATTCAAAGCTGTTCAGACTGGGCATTTCTATAACTGAGAATGTCAGTCATTTTCTATACCCACTTTCTTTGTAATCATAAAATAAGTGGCTATTTTTACCTTTTTTTGTGTAACAAAGTCAAGTTGCTTGAGTCCAATAAACTTTTTGCCTGAACTCTTCTTTTTTCAACCATCTTCCTGATTACCCTCAGTGCTTTTTTTCTAAAAAAAAAAAAAAGGTGCCGGAACTCACACACGTCATACAACCCGCCTTGCCTACCCTACAAGGTTGCATCCAAAAAAGGTGCCGGAACTCCGTTCTGGGCATTCTATGACAAAAAAAGCCCTGGATACCCTAATATATCTTTCCTCATTTCTTTGTATATGTGATAGTCCATATAGATACACTGATAGATAGCAGTGTTCCAATATTTGAAGGGCTGTCACAGAGAAGAGGGGGACAGCCTATTTTCCAAAGCACCTGAAGGCCAGACAAGGAACAATGGATGGAAACTGATCAAGGAGAGATTTAACCTAGAAATAAGGATAAATTTTCTGACAGAACAATCAACCAATGGAACAGCTTGCTTTCAGAAGTTGTGGATGCTTCATCACTGGAGGCTTTCAAGAAGAGACTGGACAGCCACTTGTCAGAAATGATATAGAGTCTTCTGCTTGAACAGGGGGTTGGACTAGATGACCTACAAGCTCCCTTCCAACTCTATTATTCTAAGTCTAACAGTGCTAAAAGAGAATCTGAATCGAACTGAAATGAGAAAGAAAAAAGAAAAAAAAATACAAAGTGCAAAACAAAAAGGAAAAAAAAGGAGAAAAAAACAAATAGAACAAACAATGTTTAAAGAAGTGACTCCTGACCTTGCAAAAAGTGCGGGCAAATTTAACATTCCCCCCATAAGGTTACATGCACAAGTCTCTTCTTCCCATAAAATATTGTTTTCAAAAAGATAAGAGTATTGCATATCATATGTAATACTAATTGCAATTTTTAATCTTAAAATGCTTAAAAATGCCAAAATAGTTCATGAAATCTTCCCATTTGGTTCTATGTTACATAAATGAATGCTAACTGAAATGTAGTCAGGCCAGTCATATAACAATATGGATTTATATTATGGTTGTCTTCACACAATCGCTAAACCAAAATATAAGTTGTTTTATTTTGGGAAAGCACAATATATGAATTCAGCCACTTTGGCTTATATATCCTGACAATGGTTTAGGATTATGTTTGGAATAGACCATAATGGGCTGTTTAACAAACCATAGTTTAAAATGCAACGTGAGTAAAATAGCCAGTAAGACAATGCAGACAAGTACCTGGTACTGCAGTCAGATTTCAAACAATTTCTATGCTTCATGTATGTTACTAAAGTGAACTCAACGCTTTCTCCTTTTTAAAAATATAATATTATTGAAAGTTTTAAAAACAAGAGTAAAATTTAGTACAAACTAAAATAAAGTAAGGAACAAGGAAGAGGGCGAAAAGAGAGCTGCCCAGGGTCACTTTGGACAGCAAGATGGGCAACATACAGAATGAATGAATGAATGAATGAATGAATGGAAATAAAAGAGAAAATGAACATGCATAAAGAAAAAAGGAAAGAAAAATGTTATTGAAGCACAAAGATGGAAACATGGCTAATTCTGCAACAGAGGAATGGTTGGTGAAGATGATAGAACTTGCTGAGATGGCCAAATTGACCTATTTGCAGGGCTTTTTTTTTGTCATAGAACGCCCAGAACGGAGTTCCGGCACCTTTTTTGGATGGAACCCTGTAGGGTAGGCAAGGCAGGTTGTATGACATGTGTGAGTTCCGGCACCTTTTTTTTTTTTTTAGAAAAAAAGCACTGCCTATTTGATTAGAGAAAAGACGATATCTACATTTAATGATGACTGGAAATCCTTTATGGACTTTTGGGGTAAAACAGAAGAAATTATGATCTATGGTTTTAAGAATTAGATAGCATAGATTATAAAAAGAAGAGAATCACAATGTAACTTTAGAGAAAGAGGCACATCTACACTTGTATTTATGGTTACTGTAAAGAAGATCAGAAGCTACAGCTTTGTATCTTTTTTCTTTCCTTTCCATTTTTCTAAGATTTCCAACATTGCAATTGTTTCTGTCTTTATCAAAAGACCAAGAGTGAAGCCTGAGAATGTTTTAACTCCCAAATCTAGCAACAATCTAGCTGCTTAAGTATTACCTCCAATTCTGTAACCCACAAAAATGCAGTTGATTGTAACACTGGTTAAGACTGCAATAAAGCCATATTTATAAAGTGACTTATTTTTGCTAGCCATAGCTAAGATCTACTACATTCCAGGGTTTAAATGGCAACTGATGTGTTAACTGTCATGTTGATGGACAGGGAGAAGCTAGGCCAGGGGTAGGCAACCTCGGCTCTTTTATGACTCATGACTTCAACTCCCAGAATTCCTGAGTCAGCATAGCTGACTCAGGAATTCTGGAAGTTGAAGTCCATGAGTCATAAAAGAGCCGAGGTTGCCTACCCGAGCTACGCTCTTTTACAGTGTTCAGTCATAGTGTGGCACCACATCAGCAGAATGAAAAAGCAAAGGTCAGAATTAAGTCCATCCTCTTTGTTATGTGTACTGCACACAATACACATACAAGTAGCAGGGCTTCGACTGCCAGGTCATGTTCCCCTTGGCATTTTTTATCTCTCCCCCCCACCCTCACTCCATGGAGACCCCTGCATTATATGTCAACATAGGTCATGAGCATTAATAGGACAGAGTCACATAATAAAATCCAGTTACTTCAACTTACTCAGATAAAATAAATAAATTCATAGAGGAAAAGATTTAATCCCGCTTTTACTCTTTCCCCTCAGTTATGAGGGAAATCCTTCCTGCATCAGATAAAGATTGGGTTCACAAATTGTGCTAAGCTTAATGTATATTAACCACGAATGCTAAGCCAAAAGCTGAGGTTTACACACCATGCTAAACTTGGTTTGGCATGAAGTGTGAAATAAGCCGCAACAATATGGTGCAAAAGTCTCGTTGAAGCACAACTTAAAACTGTTTCTTTGAAACAAAAACATCGTTTTGTTCTATAGTATAAATTCACATAATGCCAACCCTGCTTCTTGGGTTGAAGTTATATGATTATCTCAGAAGAAACTTCCCAATAGCCTAGATCAGGGATAGGCAACCTTGGCTCTTTTATGACTTGTGGACTTCAGCTCCCAGAATTCCTAATACCACAAAAAATTATTTTTCATTGCCTCAAATACTTGCTTTTGAATGGTGTTGGCTCACAAGTCCAATAGCCATTGATCTGGGACTAATCATTTGGTAATCCAGTAGAGTTGATGATGGACAAACATGTATGATCCAGTTCATTGCTTGGGACTGCATGGTTGAACAATATGTTTTTGTAATTGTGGTTGAATGAGGGAGCATGAAGTAAAGTCTTGAGTTTTCCCCATAGCATATGATGGTATTGCATGCTGGGAAGAAGGCCACAGTTAAATACCTAAGCCATGCTGGCTCAGGAATTCTGGGAGTTGAAGTCCACCAGTCATAAAAGAGCCAAGGTTGCCTACCCCTGGCCTAGATAAAGGATGCTATCCAGGACATCAATTTTCACACTAGTGGAAACCGATCTACAGTACTTCACCTCTATAGCATACAAATATAAAAAGTATCAGAAATTACTAAGTTCCCTCGGACCTAACTTTCTTCAGGATCTCTAGCAGAAATGATTACCTCTTTTTAATGAGATCCAGAGCAGTACCTATAAATTCATCCTTCATTTTCTGAAGCTTAGCTCCATAACTGGAGATATCGGTTGCTTCTAACAGCAGCGGGCAGCAAGACGACGGAGTTTCGGGCACCAGAGATTGTCCAGCGCAGTGGAGGGTTTCGCTGATGTTTTTTGCATCCAATCCTTGCTTCTCTCCTTCCACAAAATCTTTCTTGCCCTCCTTCTTAAATGCTGCAGCAGGTTGCAGAGGTGATCTCGGAACTGGGCTAGAACAAATGGGAACTGGCACAGTTTCTGATGATGCTGGGACTTCGGAAATCTTATCCCTGGCCACAGGGATATTTATTAGGCAGAAACTTCTGTCCCACGTGGATGAATTTTCTTCACAGCCAATAAACCTGGAAGCATTCTGGCTGTTTTCATGAAACACCTCGTCGTCGTCGTCATCATCACCTGTGACTGAAACCACGTCTTTAACATGATCCTGATTTTGACTTCTTTTTCCCTCCAACTGTTGGGTTCCTTCTGTTTTATCCTTCACAATTTCGCTATTGCCATTGAGAAAAAGGGCTGCCTTGCTTCTCATCCTCTTGAACTCTTCAAAAGTTGGAATGTAGAGTCTCTCTTTGCAATCAGCTTTTCTGCTCTCTTCTAGAGTCCTTTCGCAGTCTCCTCTCTCTCCATCTCCATTTAATGATCCCATAGTTTGGGATTTGATCACTTTCTGACTATCACGGGCACAATGCAGGGTCAAGTTGGGGGAGCTGTTCTGCCTCCTGATCTGCAGCCTTCGCTGGGCTTCTTGCTTGATGTCTTCTGGGCTGGCTAGCCTGCTGTAGAAACAAGGCCGTTGCTTCCCTACTGCCACCCATGGGGCATGAGCAAGAGTGGCGTGCTGCACAAATATGGTGCAACAGTTAGGGGAGCAGCCATTCTTATATTGCTGGCAGGCCCGGCATTGAGAACGTTCCCTTGCAGCCGAATCGTTCAAAGAAGGCTGAGCTCTGAGTGGCTTGCAAATCTCAGGAGCTTTACTACTGTGAATTCTAAGTTTTTCTTTTAGGATTTTTTTGGCATCCCCACTTATGGAGGAAAGAAACCACGGAGGCACTTTGGCACAAGAGGAAATGGCTATATCTTGTGCTGAAGGGATCCCTTGACCTGATGGAAGGGAGAAGTGTCGGTAACGTTCAGGTGAACTAGGAGTAAGGGAATCTTCCATGGAATACCTGGAACAGGAGGCTGTGCCTTTGCAACGAAAGACGAGTTTATTGTCTACATTTCCACCGTGGGGAAGGCAGTGTGGATCAGCTACCGTGGCCCAGTGTAGATTCTCCATGCTCTGATACAGATGTGTTCCTGCATTATTGCCTCCTTTATTTACAGGATTAAAGTCTCCAGTAAAAATACGAGTGTCCATGTTCTTTAAGGGATGCATGTTGCTAACTGAGAACTCCTTGAAGCCATGTTGCACGTACAGCTGATTATTCTGGCAGCTCAAAATCACCCGAGAGTGTTCCTGCCTCTCATCAACGCTGATGTATGTCATAGCAAATCGACATGGGTGACTGGACGGACGGATGATTTTAGAAGGGAGAGGGCAAAAGGATGAATGGGCTGTCAGTTGATGTTCAGAGGTCCTGGCCAGGGACAGCAGAAGGCTGCTATCCGGGCGCTCACATTAAAGAGCAGGGATTTCTCCAGAGTCATGACTGCAAATCGTCAAGCAGAAGAGAAACCTGATCAAACAAAAGAGAGAGAGAGAGAAAAAAGGCTGGTTATTAAGTGAATCTGGCTTCCCCACTGACCTCTTGTCAGAAAGTTGCAAAATGTGATCACACGACCTCAGGACACCACGATTGTCATAAATATGAGCCAGTTGCCAAGTGTTCAAATTTTGATCCCATGACTGTGGGTATGCTATAACGGTCCTCAGTGTGAGAAATGGTCCTAAATCACTTTTTTTCAGTGCCGTTGTCACTTCGAACAGTCACTAAATGAATGGTTGTAAGTCAAGGACTACCTGCATAGCAATCAAGAGCAAATGTATTGGGAAACCCAAGTTTTATACATCTTCAAAAGAAGGGAGTTCTTTAGTAAAGATAACACCATTGGAAGCTCCTTAGTTTGGGAATGTTTGCCTTGGTATCATTTCTTTTGCTTTCCCTCACGTAAGGGAATGGTTGCTATTTATTCCTATAATAAAAAGTATCAAACTACTACTCTTTGACAGAGCATGATGGTTTGAATCAAATTTGCCTTCTCATCACTAATACTGGGTAGCATAACCACAACAGAAGACTCTGAGAAGAGAGCAATGATCTTTTGGAAGGAAATCTGGAATGGCATGGGAAGAAAATAGTAGACTTCTGATGCTTCCCCTTCATGCAAAGCTAGAATGTAACAAAAAGAAAAGAAATACATAAACGACTTCATCACAGGTACAAACAAATTTAGCGATTCTTCATTCCTTCTAAGATTGCAAACATTTATCTTTTCACCCCATTTCCCATCAGTTACCTATCAACAAATCCATAAAATGTAGCATGGCCAATTATAGTGAAAGAACATCTTAAGAAGAACATCTACTACTATCCTAGACCATGGTGCCAAAATCTCGGCACATTTCTTAAGTGTCCTACTGTACAACTTAATTGAAAATACACAGATACCAAACCTTAGTGTAATGTAGCATTGTTACATTCAAGCACAATGCTATAACTAGTAGAATCACTACATCACACTAGGTCTGATTAATGTGTACATAGTATGTACAAGGGTAGCAATTCCTCCGCATAGAGTAAAAGCGTTCCTGGGTAGACTAAGAATCATTGCCATTTGAGACTGATTGGAGTCACTCTTCAGAGTTAACCGGAAAAGCACTGCTGACCATATCTAATGTGTGTAATTAATGTGATGATGCTTTTTCAAGATCTTTCTGTAATCAGTCTACCACCTCAATCTAATCATCATCCCATCTGGAATGGCTTATTTTCCGACACTTGGTTTTATTCATTATTTCTCCTGTTCTGTTTGGAGAAGATCACAGGTAGTGGCGAAAAAGGATTTCTTGTGCGATCAAAGGTTACAACATGTTCTGCCGTGAACGAGTGAATAAAGAACAGCATGAGAGCAGATTTAGCAAGGAATCGTGATGATTCAGCTCAGAACAGCAACATCCCAGAAATGATGCAAAAAGAAGGGAAAGGAAAAGCAAGTATTCTCGGAAAACATTTTCAGCATAATTTTAGGCATGTTCACATGGAAGATCGTGTTCAACAAGGCTTAGTCTAAAAAAGCATCTGCTGGATTATAGCCAATGGAGCAACTCCATGGATTCTTTTCCAACAAACTGAACAGTAATTTTCCACTCCCTGGGTACAATTTTAAGGACATGCATTTGCATTCACTTATACTCCAGGTTCACATCATGTTCCTGATAATAAATAAAACATGTTTTGTGGGAAAAAGGAATAGTAGCACTAGCCTTGTCACATGTATTTGTCATTAGATACTGTCCACAGATACACTCAACACTAAAAGAAATAAATGGACTTTTCTGAAATCAACATAACACCATCTAGACCAGTGGTTCTCAACCTTTTTAATGCCGCGACCCCCCAACCGGTCGTAAGTCAAGGACTAAACTGGTCGTAAGTCGAGGACTAAACCGGTCATACGTCGAGGACTAAACCAGTCGTAAGTCGAGGACTACCCAACTGGTCGTAAGTCGAGGACTTTCCCTGCCCGGGAGCACCGCACATGCGTGGTTCCGCCCCCTGCGCCGGCCGAGGCCTAGCTGGCAAGCGGCAGAGACGGAGCAGGCCAACCAACAGCTGGCCCAGCCCAAGGGAGGTAAGGTATCCGCCGGAAAAGGGGAAAAAATGGCGGACAGCTTTGCTTGGCGACCCCCGTGAAATGGTCGATCGACCCCAAATGGGGTCGCGACCCATAGGTTGAGAACCACTGATCTAGACAATCTGTATATTCCCCTTTCCCAGACAGCATGCATCATCATCCCCAAAATGTATAATAATTTTAAGAGCAGTGATATTGTATTCCTTGGGTAATTTTAAAACAATAATTGAGTTCACATGCAACAATAAGCCTGGAATCCTGGAATAATCAACAGTAATAATATGAATGATCAAAGAGTGAATTNATCCATCCATCCATCCATCCATCCATCTATGTTTATATCCCCCCTCTCTCTTGTTTATTAAGGCAGGATTTATGGTTTACTTTTACATTTACTTTTGAAAAACCCACTTTGCCTCCCTCTTAAATAATAATGGAATTCAGAAGGAGGTTAAGAGCTTTGTCATTAGTTAGGAATCCCCTCCCTCAAGTACTGTCAATACTTGTATCTATATAATTTCATATCCAATGAAGCAAACTGAATATATTCGGATATAGATGGAGCAGATATATACAGTATCTAGTTCATATTTTGCCTAACTAACTTCTAACTAAATGTTGGTAACTTGCAAGCCAAATTATGCTTTCCAGTTTGTTAAGACTGACCTTTCCAACACAATGGACCACAATGATTCAGACTGAAGAATGAAGCTAGATACTAATGTATTTGTACATCTTATTTGGCAATGCTATTTGAGGGTACTAAATCAAGCAGATTCTTCAGTTCAGTACAAGCCATGATCTGTCAACTATTCCTCACATACCTTGTATTAAAAAAATAATAATGGCAAATCTCTATGTGGCAGAACAAATGAACACAAATCTGGCACCAGCAAGTACCCTATTCAAACTCCCCAGGACATCTGTCTTGGGAGAAGGAATTACAAAAAGTGATTACATTCCTAAACAGCTAAGCTCAAATTCATTAGAAAAGAAGGCACAATTTCCCATGGATTAAACATAGATCAAGACTTATCAAACTGAATATAATAATAATAATAATAATAATAATAATAATAATAGTAGTAGTAGTAGTAGTAGTAGTAGTAGTAGTAGTAGTAGTAGTAAAGTTGGAAGGGACCTTGGAGGTCATCTAGTCCAACCCCCTGCTCAGGCAGGAAACCCTATACCATTTTGGACAAATGGCTGTCCAGTCTCTTCTTAAAAACCTCCAGTGTTGGAGCATTCACCGCTTCTGGAGGCAGGTTGTTCCACTGGTTAATTGTTCTAACTGTCAGGAAGTTTCTCCTTAGTTCTAGGTTGCTTCTCTCCTTGATTAGTTTCCACCCATTGCTTCTTGTCCTGCCTTCAGGCGCCTTGGAAAATAGCTTGACTCCCTCTTCTTTGTGGCAGCCCCTGAGATATTGGAACACTGCTATTATGTCCCCCCTCTGCTACCAACAGAGCTATTGCATGATCAAAGAGCACTTCACACTGCTGTTCACCGGAATCAATCCATACATTTAGCTGTGATCCATCAAGTGCTGAAGACTCACATAGGGTAGGTGTACCTACAGGCTACATTTTTAAAAAAAAAATATTTATCAAATTTAAAACCTGTTCATCTCCTAGAGGGCCTCTGGATGGTAAAAAAAATAAAAATTTAAAAATATAAAAAAATGAATATAAATGAATATAAAAAAAAATAAAATGGAGGCAAGGACAGTTAAAATTCAACATTAAAAGCTAATTACAAAGTGGAAGGGAAGACCTTCAAGGCTGCATGTTCCTCTTGAGCTTCAAGCAAGATGGTAGAGCCAGGTCTTTAGATATTTTCAAAAGGCCGGGAGAGTGGAGGCCCATCTCACCTCTGGGCGGAGAATATTCCACAGGGCATGGGCAATGGCAGAAAAGGCTCTCTTCCTGGACACTGCCAGTAGGAATTCTTAAACTGATGGGGTCCACAATATGCCTTCCCTGCCTAAGTGGGTGAGACAGGCTGATGTAATGGGGCAAAGACAATTCCATAGGTAACCTGGCCCCATGCCATGTAGGGTTTTACAGGTAATAACCTTGAACTGAACCCGAGTATTTATTTAATACTCTGCTGCGTGCATCTCACGCAGCAGAGTATTAAATAAAAATATATATTTTGTTGTATTTTATATCCTTAAAAAACTGTTAAAACTGTTTTTCAGGGCAAGTGATATAAGGAACATTTAAAATTAAGCTGTTCAAAAGAATCAATTAATGGAACAAGAAGGCTTTTTTCGATGAATTACACAAACCTCTAATTTTAGCCCACACAATTCTACTTACTGAGAGGTCTGTTTTGAGGGATTATAAACTGCCCAGGAAAAATTAGAACCATCAGTAAGATGAAATCAGAAAGAAAGATCTGACTATTTCAGTACACTTTGGGAAGGACCATACCAAGCAAGGGAGCAGCCAATTTTAATACAGATCTCATCTGTCGTGGACTTAAGTCATAGAGGCATCGCAAAGGACAAGTTGCTGCTTTTTAAATGCAAGGTAAGCTGTTCATTCTAACTTGGCAAGGCAGGTAGAAATTAGCAGATGTGATATTTGAACCTGGAGAATTGTAATTCATAAGACTCTTGGAGGGAAATCAGCCCACCAAGCTTCACAGAAAACTGTCAGGAGTGCCTAGTTAGTACTTTTCCATTTCAT